TAGAAATCCCTCTGGATCTCTGTGAGTTCAAAGCCACATTGGAAACAGCCAGGCAAGGTGACACACACTTTTAATCCCAGAAATCGAGCCTTTAATCCCAGGGAGTGAGGCAGAAAGCAGAAAGATATATAAAGCATGAGGACCAGAAACTAGAAGCATTTGACTGGTTAAGCTTTCAGGCTTTGGAGTAACACAGTTCAGCTGAGATTCATACTGGATGAGGACTCAGAAGCTTCCAGTCTGAGGAAACAGGACCAGCTGAGGAACTGGCAAGGTGAGATAGCTGTGGCTTGTTCTGTCTCTCTGATCTACCAGCATTGACCCCAATAACTGGCCTCAGGTTTGATTTTATTAATAAGAACTGTTTAGATTCCTGCTACACTCATCAAGTGATTTCTCTTGTTTGAATGGAAATTTTATTAACTATGTTGGTATTCATAGCTTTTCTTCTCCTGCAGAAACAAGAGAAAAACCCCTTCCCCAATGTAGAATATAACCTGGTTTCCATTCTGAGGTCAACACCTCTTTGAAATAAACTGGTTGATTTAGCTCAAGAATTTTCCATGTGGTTGCTGGGAATTGAACTCAGGACCTCTGGAAGAACAGCCAGTGCTCTTCACCTCTGAGACATCTCTCCAGCCCGACCAATGTCTCTCCAAAGCTCTTGTTCCTTTCTCATAAACGCTGAGAAAATTTAAAGTTAATAAAACATTATGCAGTCTATTTCTAGGAGACATTGTTACCTGTTGCTCTTTATTTAGCATATCCTTAAAAGTTCAATTGGATCTTTCTATTACTGCTTGGCTTGTGTGATTGTGTGGTATACTATGGCTTCCTTCATATTTTCAAATTTCCTCATCACAATTAGTTGTAATTTATGTTCCACAAATGGCTCAGGGTGTCTAACATCTGTTGGCCAGTCATGGATGATGACAGGATAAGCCATTGTGTGAGAGCCATCAGGAGATGTTATGACCTGTATTGTCTTGCTGTTCTGCTTTTTAAGTCCCTTGTCATGTTTACTGAGAATTTCTTCCAGGGCTTGCAAATCAGCACCTAGGGGCTGTTCTAGGGAGAGAACCTCTTCTCTTGCAAGGGATTCCAGATTTCTCATGGAATCATGGAACTTTTTATGTTCTTCTGAAACACATGATTCCATAGATGTTATTTTATCAGTTAATGGTAATCTTTCTTCCTTATAAAGTGTCTGAGTAGTGAAAACTTCGCCCTGGAGAGTTATTATTCTATCCATTAAGTATTCATATTTACTATCAATAAAATCAACTTTGGTTATACATTTTTTAGTAATGGAATAAAGTTCTTGCATTAAGTTAGCAGATTCCAAACTAGAGAAGCTTGTTTTCTAAATCTTTTACTATCTTGTAAATCCTGGTTAGCAGATTCCAGAAAAATTATCTTTTTATGTAAGCCTCCATTGGTATCTCATAAAACCTGTATCAGTCCCAATAATGACTCATCTTTGTTATTATTATTAAAACAGCATTTGAATGCTGTGTGAATTATTATTACCCTAAATGCCAAAAGGGTACATGCCAGATATGCCTTAGGGAGGTCATATATCTCCAGGAAAATGTCATTCATCATACAGGCAAAAAAGTATTTAAATTCTAGTGAAGTAATGTTTTTGGCCATAGTATAAGAAGTACTCAAAATTTGTTAGTCAGTTTCAAGGTGTAAAATTATAAAATACTCTTACCTGAAATAAAACATTGGCTTGGTTGTCTTACCATCCTTTACATTTTTTTTGGGGGGGAGGTGTAATAGCACTTTTTGACTAGCAGGTGTCACACTAAAACAGGTCCTACTGAGGGCTTTGGCTGGCTGCAGGCAAGAGCAGGGTGTCCCGAGTTTGCTAGGCAGCATAGGCAGATCTTCCTGTGACTCCCAGAAATTTCAGGGCCCAGCTTGGATTTCTTGACCTGCCTGGCCCTCAGTGCCCTTCGTTCAGTAAAAAGGCCTGTGTGTGGGGTTGAGTGGCCTGAGCTCAGGGGCAGAGAGCTCCAGGTGGCAAGCATGATGGCTGTCAGCCATGGCTCTGAGCTCCTCTCCATGAACCAGGCACCCTTGAGCAGGTCCTATTTATTAAATGTTGCTCTCAGTGTCTGTGCTACTGGTGTTATATTTAAGAAGTGGTCTCCTGTGCCGATGTGTTCAAGACTACTACCTAATTTGTCTTCTATCAAGTTCAGTGTAACTGGATTTGTGCTGAGGTCTTCAATCCACTTGGAGTTGAGTTTGTGCATGGTGACAGACATCAATCTATTTGCAATCTTCTGCGTGTTGATATCCAGTTATGCCAGCACCATTTGTTGGAGATGCTACCTTTTTCCTGGGGTACTCTTTAGGCTTCTTTGTTGAAAATCATTCGTTCATAAGTATGTGGATTAATGTCAGCGTTTTCAATTCAATTCCATTTGTTGTTAGAGTTTTCCTGCCTGGCCCACAGTCAGGACAAATCTCTCTCACCCGCCAGTCCCAAGCCGCTCAAACCCGATCAAGTAAACACAGACACTTATATTGGTTTCAAACTGTATGGCCGTGGCAGGCTTCTTGCTAACTGTTCTTACAGCTTAAATTAATCCATTTCTATTAATCTATACCTTGCCACGTGGCTTGTGGCTTACCGGTACTTTACATCTTCCTTATCCTGATGGCGGCTGGCAGTGTCTCCCTCACTCAGCCTTCCACTTCCCAGCTCTATTCTCCTCCTTGTCCCGCCTATACTTCCTGCCTAGCCAATGGCCAATCAGTGATTTATTTATTGACCAATCAGCAACACATTTGACATACAGACCATCCCACAGTATCCATTTGTCCACGTGATGGCTTTATGCCAGTAACCAGCTGCTTTTATTACTATAGCTCTATAGTAGCAGTTTAGGTCAGGAATCATGATGCCTCCACAGGTTGCTTTATTATACAGGATTCTTTTAGCTATCCTAGGTGTTTTGTTTTTCCATATAAAGTTAAGTATTGTTCTTTCCAAGTCTGTGAAGAATTGTGTTGAAATTTTGATGGGGATTATATTGAATCTGTAGATTGCTTTTGGTAAGATTGCTGTTTTTTCTATGTTAATTCTACCTATCCATGATCATGGGAGATCTTTCCATTTTCTGATATCTTCTTTGATTTCTTTCTTCAGAAACTCAAAGTACTTATCATACAGGTCTTTCATTTTCATAATTAGAATCACCCCAATGTATTTACATTATTTGGAGCTATTGTAAAGGGAGATGTTTCTCTGATTTCTTTCTCAGCCCATTTACCATTTGTATACCAGAGGGATACTGATTTTTTTTGAGTTAATCTTCTATCCTACATCATTACTGAGGGGTTTATTAATTGTAGGAGTTCTCTGGTAGAATTTCTGGAGGATAATTTTTTGATGTGTTCCTAGATTCAGTTAGCCAGTATTTTATTGAGTATTTTTGCATTAATGTTCATGAAGATTGGTCCTGTAATTCTCTTTCTTTGTTGCATCTTTGTGTGGTTTGGGTTTCAGGGTGTCTGTAGCCTCACAGAAAGAGTTTGGCAATGTTCCTTCTCTTTCCATTGTGTGGAACAATTAGATGAGTATTGGTTTTAAATCTCCTTTGAAAACTGGTAGAATTCTGCTGCTCCCGAGAGCTAGTCGCGTCCCCAGTCAGAGGGCTTGTCCAGTCAACCTGTCTGCTCCCAGGGTGCTCCCTCTGGTCTTCATCAGTGGACACTGAGGCAGCGTCTGGCCCAGAAGCTCTGCAGGAGCATCGGCAGCACCTGTGCACAGAGATAGAGCCAAGCAAGCTCTACCAGACCCTTAGAAACTCTCTTCCCTGCCCAAGCTCCGTGACACCCTGGCAGAGATGAACTTGGAGCAGACCATGAAGCTCTTGAGGAAAGAGCAGCTCCTCGTCCCCTTTGCCAAGGACTTAGCCGCCATTTTGTCAGAGAGGTCCCAGTTTGAGCCCTATCCTGAGCCAGACCCAGGGGACTTTGCCTTCGCGTTGAGCCTGATGAAATTGCGGCCCAGGAACTGTCCAGAGAGAAGACAAGTGATTCCCTGTCCAGAGTATGTAAAAAAGTGGATAAAAGTAGGTTGTGGTGACACACCCATTTAAATCCAGCAATCTGGAGGCAGAGGCAGGTGGAGCCATGTAAATTCAGACCAACGTGGTCTACAAAGCAGTTTCCAGGACAGCTAGGGCCATTACATAGCAAAACCCATTGCCAACCCCCCCCCAAAAAAAAGAAAAGAAAGAATAAAGTAAGAAAAAATAAATAAAGGAAAAAATATGAAGAATGAAGGAGGGGTGTTGGTGCACTAAGTGATCCCAGACATTCTATCTCCCAAGCATATGTTCTCTCTCTCTGTCTTTCTCTATCTGTCATACACACACACACACACACACACACACACACACACACACACACACACACACAGTGAGAGAGAGAAAGAGAGAGAGAGAGAGAGAGAGAGAGAGAGAGAGAGAGAGAGAGAGAGAGAGAGAGAGAAACAGAGAAACAGAAAACAGAGACAGAGAGAAAAGCCAAAAGACACATAGTTTTACCCACAGAGTTTGATTATAGGATCTTTATGTTTTATTTGTTTGCTTGTTTATTTATTTATTTATTTATTTATTTATTTATTTATTTATTTATTTATTTATTTATTACATTTGATGCAGAGGTGTTCTGCACTTGATTCCGTGGGAAGGGTTTGAGTGGAGGGAAAATCCAAAGTGGAGTGTTTCCTCTGAAACACAGGTCTTTTTGCATGTGGCGGCCTAGGTGCTCCCAGGTGGGCCAAAAGCCTAGGTGGGCCTAGGAAGCAGGCAGGGAACTCTGCCCAGGGTCTCAGCAGAGGATGGCCAGGAGCTGGAGAAGGAGGAAGGATAGCAGGAGCAGGCAGGCACTGCAATGTCTGGTCTCTCCAGGAAGAGAGAAGAGGAGGTCTGGTTCAGAGGATTGCCAGCAATTCCAGAGCAGAGAGCATCCTAGGGTCACCTATGAGCAAGCCTCTTCTTGTAAAGCCTGATGGCCTTGGCCATGAGTGGGGCAGGTTTCTTAGGCTTGGTACTGACCCTGGACTGTGGGCAGGTTGCACTCTGTGGCAAGCCGTGGGCAGGAGCCTCCTGGAGTCTACTCATTTTGGGGGAGGCCGCCCCTCCCGGTCTAGACTCTGCCTGCTGGCCTGGACTTGTGGCTTGAGCCTGGAAGGCAATCATCTTGGTTTGGCGGCCTTGAGGCTTCATGGCTTGCTTGCCTTGGAGGCGGGCTCTCAGGGTTTGCAGCCTCAGCTCAGAGGACTCCTGCAGCTGGAGGATTGTGTCACTCTCAGTCTGGGTGTGAGTTGGCTTGCCAATGTGTGTCTTGGGACTGGACTTCTCCTGCTGCCAGGGCTCAGTTTCTTCAGCTGTGCCTTGGCATCCAGTTGGCAAGGGGCAGTCAAGGGGCTTAGGAAGGCACCCTTTCTGGGATTTCTGCAGGAGCCTGGCAGGTGCAGGACCCGAATAGACTGGTGTTTTGAAGTGGGTCCTGCGCGCCCAAGGCGGGTCTTCTTCTTCAGTGTCATTTGAAGACTGTTCCTGGCCACTCAGTGGGACGCCTGCTTGGAGACTGGAAGCATCTTCTGCAATGGGATGCCCATCGACTCCATGGCCATTTTGATCTTGGCAAATATCTGACTTACCCCTGGGCACCTTTGTTCCAGGCCTAAGGGCCTCAGCTTTCCAGGTGCTTTTCCCCCCACTCTTGCAGCGAGTCAGCTGCAGCCTCAGAGCAGAGGAAAGAGAGCTGTCAGAGTTGAGGCAAGTCTCCAAAGAACCATCCTGGTGCTCTTCCTGAATGCAGTGGCCTGGAGTCTTTCCCCCAGCATCTGACTTGCTGGTGACCGGCTTTGCTGCTTGGAGGGGCCAGGGCTCCTCTGTACTTCCTGGGGTCTTTGAAACCTGCCCCTGGTTCTGTGCAGGTAGCTGTGGTTCCCCTAAGGACACTCTTGGCCTCTTTCTTCCTCTTGGCTCCAGCCCTGTGTTGGGATTCACCCTTCGTTCTGGGCTTGTTTGTGTGCTTGGGCTTGGACATGGTCTAGGTGTTGATCTCAGTCTGGGGCTTGGTCTCAGTCTCTGGCTCTGGCTCTGGCTCTCGTTTGGGCTGGGGCTAGTGCTTGGGCTTTGTCTCTGTCTTAGTCTAGGTCTGGATCGCCATCCCGGACTGGGGTTCAGGCAGGGTCTTGGGGCCCGGGTGTGGCTCGGGCTCCGGCACTGGCTGGGGCCCGGACTTGAGTGTTTGCTGCTCCTGCTCACTTTGAAGACCTCTGTTCCATCTTGTCTGTGTTCCTTTGATGCTGACTCACGTGGCTTGTCTTGTGGACAATTTCTGGGTGGTTGTGTCATCAGGTTCAACTCACAGGCAAAGTTCTGCAGGTCTGGCTCAGGCTGGGGCCCAAAATGGGGCCTCTCTGACAAGCAGGCAGCTAAGTCCTTGGCAAAGGGGACCAGGAGCTGCTGGTTCCTCAGGAGCTTGATGGTCTGCTGGAAGTTAATCTCCGCCAGGGTGTCGCAGAGCTTGGGCAGGGAAGAGAGATTCTTGAGGGTTTGGTAGAGCTTGCGTGGCTCTGTCTCAGTGCGCAGGCACTGCAGCAACTTCTGCAGGGCTCCTGGGCTGGAGGCAGCCTCCATGTCCACTGATGAAGGCACCAAGGGGCACCCCGGGAGCAGCTGGGTTGACTGGACAAGCCCTCTGTCTGGGGATGCGACTCACTCTCAGGAGCAGAGGACACTGCTTCTGGGCTGGAGAGTGTCTCAGCTCTTTGTCTCACTGCTGCTCTGCCTTCATTTGCTTTTAAGGGGTTGGGTGGGCCATGCCCCCTCAACACTACCCAATCAAACACCTGGGTTGCAACTGTTGGGCAAGCCCTTTCTGATTTACAGGTCTCTAAGCCACACCCACGTCCAAACACTCTTGCCTTTACTTAATCTCCTTAAAAAAACCAAACAAACAGACAACAACCAAAAAGCCAAGCCCTGAGAGCTGATGGGTGCTAGGCCACAGACTCTCTTACAGGTGACCCCTGTGACTTGACACCCTAAATACGAATTTTTGTCATTTTTGGCATAGTGTGCTCAAGTGGCTTATGCCAGCCTAGAGTTTATCCCATATATGGCACCTACTCATTCAGCATAAGACAGATAAAAATGAAATCCACTGTTTTATAATGGAGCTCCCCCACCTGTGATGTTTTCTCTAGGTTTTTGTTTGTTTGTTTGATTGTTTGTTTGTTTGTTTTACTTGACCAGGTGAACTTGATTAAATCAGGGCTTCTTTGATTATGCAATCTTTTGTTGATATCCATGACCTTCAATGAGGTCCGTTTTTGATCATGCAATCCTTTTGGTGTGGTGTGTCTATCAGTTTCTTTGTTTGTCTTTTTGTTTTTGATTGTTTGATTCTCTGTCTTAGCCTGTTTCCACAATGCTTGTTCTGTTTCTCTAGTAAGGTAGTATGTCTTGGATCTCTTTTCCCTTTTTTTCTTTTTTGTTTTTGTTTTTGTCCTTCAAGTATCCCTTGGAAGGGGACCCCCAATGATTTCATTGGAATTCTGATTCTTGCAGGTTTCTTACTTGCCCAGAGATCCTTTTGCTTCAGGGCTAAATTCCTGGGCTTTCCAATTGCTTTTACCCCTCCTCTTTCACCCTGTCTACAGAGGAAGGAAGAGAGTTCTAAGAGTAGAGGTAAGCCTTCAAAGGACCAGCTGGCTACCTTCCTGGATCCAGTGACCTGGTGTCATTCCCAGCAGGGGAGACAGGCACTGCTTTTCTGGCCCAGCCTCTGACTTGCTTTCTTTGGGACCAGGAGCTGCTTTATCCTCAAGTTCTTGATGGTCTGCCTGAAACCATTCTATGCCAAGGTGTCACATGTTTTGAAGAGCTTGTGTGGCTCTTTCTCGATGCACAGGTGTTCCTGTAGGTTCTGCTGGGCTTCTAAGTTCGAGGCTGCCTCCATGTCCACTATCGACTACCTGAAGGGGCAGCCCAAGTGCAGCAGGGTTGACAGGTCAAGCCCTCTGCCTGGGAAGAGGACTATCTCTCTTACACATTGGATACTGCATCTGGGTTGTTCTACTTCAACAAAACCTGAACATCACAGTGTAGAATAAGGAGAAGAAAACGACTTTCAAAATAACTTTATGAAAATGATAGAGGCGTTTAAAGAGGGAATTAAAATTTTCCTTAAAGAATTTGTGGAATATAGAGACAATCAATTTGAAGAAACCAATATATACTAAAAAAAAAAAAAAAAGCAAGAAAGTCAATGTAGAAGAATTTCTAAAAAGTCTTATTAAATAAGAAACAGAGCCAAATACAGGGGTGAAAGCCATAGAAACCTGAGTGATAGCCACCAGCAAACCTTATCTCACCAAGTCGCCATAGCCACCTCACTTCCTCCTCACTGCCTGTCTATACAGACCTCCAGGTCTCTATGTTTAGAACTGGGATTAAAGGCGTGTGTCACCATGCTTGGCTGTGTCCTGGAACACACAGAGTCTCTGCCTGCCTTGTGATTGGATTAAAGGCGTGTGTCCCCATCGCCTGACTTCTGTTTATGGCTGGTTATGACCTCTGATCTCCAGGCAAACTTTATTTATTAACATACAAATAAAATATCACCACCATTCAGCACAAATAAAATATTAACACATTTCCCCTTTTTGTCTAAACAAAATAAAAAATAAAAAGTTATTGCATGTATTCTTACTTATATTAGCTATAAGTACAGTAGGAATATACAATATATACACGCAATAAATACATCAACAATGTCGAGTTCCTTTGCATTTCACAAACCTAAAGAAAATATTCCATTACCTATTCTATTTTGGTAAGTCCAAAATGTATCTAATTCACTTCCTATCCTAACTTATATTATCAACAGAAAACTGTCCCAGGATGTCATTCAGGCTTTTACATTTTACACCCTCTCAGTGACTTTCATTTCTGAAATTTCTTAACAAGGAAAACTGTAACTACAACTATGTAATCTTCGCCTAACTATAATTATGACTATCTAATCTTCAACTCCCCCAGAGACCCAAGAAGAAAATAATATTGCCTAATAAAACAGGAAGTGCAAGCAAGTAACTTCCAAAAAAATGTGAGTTGACAGAAACAGCCAGCTGCTTGGACAGTCCGCTGAGGTTTCTCTGTAATACTGGGGCGTCATTTTCAGCCTATTGGCTTACGGTATCTGACAGACTTATTTGTGAAGTAGAATGTACCCAAGGCATACAGTTCAACCTCACATTCGATGTGAATAGTCCATGTATCAGATAAACCTGAATTCTACCAGTGTCCTGTCATGATTCAGGATTTTAAATTCTGGAAATTGCTGATGTTTTCAAAGGCAGCTGCCCATTCTTCTTGGCTTGTGGGTGGTTTCATCTTGGCATCCCACTCTTCTATGCATCCCATTCTTCTTGACTTGTGGGTTGGGTCATGTCTTTTAAATGCCAGTCTACCATTGAGAGGTGAGATTCTGTTAGCCTTTAAAAGTAACTGCTTCAGCTGCTGTTCCACTGCACACCAGAAGCTGTAGGTCCAGCTGTCTCTGAAGAAAAGGGAATTGTACTTTTTCTGGATTGTAAAGCCACTTCCGTGATGGTGCCATATTGTCCTGGCCTCAGAGGATGCCTGTTGCTAAAGCCACAACCACACTTGTTTGGGCAAAGATCAGTAGTCCTCTGTTTTGTGGCTGGTCTGTCCATTTTGGATAGTGTACTGTCAGCAGTCAATTTGTGAGGGCATTTTGATGCCCAGTGGCTAACTTTTGAGACTGATAGATACATCTCACCAAATGGATTGCATAATCAAAAAAGGACCTCATTGAAGATCATGGTTATCACCAAAAGTATTGCATAATCAAAGGAGCCCTGATTCAATCATGGTCACTGTGGCCAAGCAAATAAACAAACAAACAAATAAATAAATAAATAAATAAATAAATAAATAAATAAACAAATAAATAAACCTGGAGAAAATTCAAAGATGGGGTACCTCCCTTAGAAAAAAAATGGATTCCATTTTTATCTGGCTTATGCTGATTGAGTAGGGGCCATATATGGGATGCATTATAGACTGGCATAAACCACATGTGCATGCATATGACAAAAGAAAACAAAAATTGGTATTTTGGGTCCCAAGTGGCAGGGGCCACCTGTAAGAGAGGCAGGGGCCTAGCACCCATCAGCTCTCTTGGCTTGGGATGGTTTGTTGGTTTGTTTGTTTGTGCTTTTTAAGGAGATTAAGTAAACTCAAGAATGTTCAGATGTGGGTGTGGCTTGTAGAACTGTAAATCAGAAAGACCTTGTCCATCAGTTGTAACCCAGTGTTTGATGGTATAGTGTGGAGGGGGCATGGCCCACCTACCTCTTAAAAGCACAGGAGGCAGAGCAGCAGTGAGACAAAGAGCTGAGAGCCTCTCCAGCCCAAAAACAGTGTCCTGTGTTCCTGAGAAAAAGTCCCATACCCACTCCAGAGAAGCCACACCTCCTAATAGTGCCACTCCATTTAGGGCCTTTTTCTTTCAAATTACCACAAGCTTTTTCTTGCCTACAGAGGATTGTAGCTTTTAAGGGGGTGGGTGGGCCGAGCTTACTCCCGACCGCCCAATCAAACACCTAGGCTGCATCTGCTGGGCACGCCCTTTCCGACTTCCAGATCTCTAAGCCACACCCACAGACCAAATCTCTTGCCTGATCTTCATATCCTAGGGGGTGGAGAGCAGGGGGAGGGAAAGAAAACAAGCACAGAGATCTGATGGGTTCCAGGCCACTGTCTCTCTTACAAGGGAAACCTTCGACTTGGGACCCTAAGTAGGAACTTCTGTCTGCTTTGGGCACAGTGCACTCACAAGCGGCTCATGCCAGCCTAGGGTGCATCCCCTAGATGCCAACTAGTCACACTGCTTGTGCCAGAAAAAGATGCAATCCATTCCACAACACCCACCACCCTCTCTCTCTCTCTTACTCTCTCTGTCTCTCTGTTGGTCTCGCTCACTCTTTCACTTGCTCTTCCTTTCTATGTTTCTCTCCCACTCCTTTACTCTCTCTGTTTCACTCACAGACACACTAGCACATGCACGTGCATACACACAAACACAACAATATCCTTTTCTGCTCCTCTCCCCAATTTGGTACACTTCTCTCACCATCACTTCCTTTCTGGGACACTCAAACTTTTCTTCCTAAGCTGGCACCCACACCTCTGGTTTTCACTCCAGGTTCTGTCTGATTCAACACTGTGACTTTGAATCAGGGCCTCCTTTGACGGTGCAATCCTGAGGTGATGTGTATGTGTCTTTTTGGTTGCTTTTTGTTTTCCATAGTTTGGTTTTCTGTCTGGGTGGTGGGGGTGGTGTGTGGGGGGAGGTTCCACAATGCTTGTTCTTCTCTAGTGAGATAGAATGTCTGGGATCTCTAAGTCCACTCAATCCCATCCATTTTTTTCCGAAAACTGTCCTTCATTCTTTATTCATCCTTCCTTCATTCCTTTCTTCATTCCTTCCTTTTTTTTTTTTTTTTTTTTTTTTTTTTTTTTTTTGGTTTTTGCACATAGGGTTTCTCTGTGTAACAGCCCTGGCTGTCCTGGAACTTGTTTTGTAGACCTGTAGGCTGGTCTGGAAC